TATATATATACGCACACACACACATATATATACACACACACACACACACATATATATATAATATATAAGAGATAGGTTTCGCTCGTAGGATTGTTCTTAATATAGAACGTGTAACGAACGACCATGGTTGGATTCGTAAAATACTTTCGTACTAAACATCTAGGAGAAAAATCAACACGTGAGTCACAAAGCTTAGCGGATATCTATGCGAGCGTAAATAATGGAAGTAGAATTATTCGATGGAAGGTATTCTGCAATATTTTTTCGTGGGAAGGGGCATCTTACCTGATATATGTTATTAAAATTATTGTTATTCTGGTCATCAGTGCCGTTATTGCTGTTGACGAAGAGATTCTTTGGAAACTCAAATCCCAGGAAAGGATTTAAACTTGACATGGTGTTGCTTGTGGGTTGAGCTAGCTCTTACGCTCTTGCGGCATGTATATTGAATGTTCTTAGTTTGCAAGTAAATATATTCAGGGGAATGCAGAATAGCGTCCTACATATGACACGATCTGAAAAATCTGTATTATTTTTTTATATGGTGATGGCGGGGTCAAATCAGTCACGACCCTCTCTACTACTAGAGAGAGAAGTGTAAAATTTAAACGGGAGAACAGACACAAGAATCCAAGATGGCCGTGAATCAGTTTGAGTTTTGAAAGCCGCAAGCGCCAGAGCCCCCAGAGGCCAGGTTCTAGCTGCCACTTGCCACTCTTGAGTCAGAGTTCCAGACGAGTCCAACTGATTTAAATATTTATAAAAAATAGTCCCCAGGCAGTTCCCCACTCCCCACCAGAGTGTCCCACTGTCCCAGGCTCCAGAGTCCAGACTCCCCAAGCACTGCCCAGCAGAGAGAGAAGTGGAGACGTATCCTTCGGACAAGAGTCCGATCACTCGACCAAGCTTATTATTTTAGTTCTTCTCTACTCCCTCTCTACTACTATTTACTACTGGTAGAGCGAGAGAGAGAGGCCGAGGCCCGTCCGAGGGTCATGGGAGACGTTGGCACTTGGCACTGTATTAGTATAGCGTATACACTCTGGGTGACTGGGTCTGGCGACTGGCAGTCTGCCACTGCCCCTGGCAGGCTGGCAGGCTAGGCTGGCACTCTTCACAACGGCTCTTTTTAGATTTTATGTGTGCAATAAAAAGTTCATTCTAAAAAAGGTCGTACTCAGTTTATCTGTCAACTTCTGAGTTCTGATTTCTACTCTGAGTCTGTCACAAAAGTCATATAAATAAATGACAATAAAAACAAATATGACTCACTGACCACTGTACAGTTTTAAAATAGAGTAGTACATAGTACACAGTGTACATTGTTTTCTATAAAAATAAATAAAAGTATATATTTATGCACTGCTCTTGTATCTAATGTACCAAAGGTATTTATTTTACATATTTAGTAGTAAATGATCTGTTATTAAAATTTTGTTATGTTCTAGATTATTATGCGACTGTGGCACTGTATTCCGTACTAAATTCTGCAAACTATCCAACCTTTACATGATTTTGACAGCGTACGGGTGCAGAGTGCAGTTGCTTCTATACAAGGATTGATCCAGAGCATGCTTTCACACTCTACATGTCTTCCCATAGTGTTTGATCTCGTATTGGACTACGAATATTCTTATCAACATGGCTAGTTCTGACTTACAGTCGAGGTATACGCAATTGCACTTCGGCGAGGATGTGGAAGCGAGCGATTCCGATACGACCAGTTGTTTGTCTATCTCAGATCACAGCAGTTCTAAAAAGCCTGGGGGAAGGCATATTCATTTTAAGTAAGTTAACGACCTTTCTAGCGTCAAGATTATGCAGGTGTAACAATAGTGAACTATATATATTTGCGTATACGTGTAGACACACACACTCACACAAACACACACACACACACACACTCACACTCACACAAACAACACACACACACACACACACACAAACACACACACACATACAAACACAAGCACACACACATACACACACAAACACAAACGCACATACACACACACACACAAACACT